TAAGGGGGTGGGGAGTGGGGAGGAAGAGGTGGAGGAGGAGGAAGAAGGGGCGGAGGTGGGAGGGAGGGGGAGGGGTACGGCGAGAGCTGGGTCACGTTGGGGAAGGGGGAGAGTTAAATCGGTACGACGACGGGGACGGTTGCGTGAAGGAGGAGGGGGCATGGGTGATGCGGCGGAGGAGGTAGTGGTGGTGGCGGCGGCGGCTGGAGGGGGTGGTTGAAGAGGTCGCATGATTGATTGATTGATTGATTTTGGAGAAAAAAAAAAGAGAAATGGGACAAAGCTATTCGATTGTCTTTTTTCTTTTGCTTCTAAATAAAAATGAGAAAATTAGAGAGAGGGAAAGGAAATGAGAGGAAATGGGGAATGAAGGGATTTTTAAGGTTCTAATCTGGAAATAGATGAAGGAAATCGAGAGAGGAAAATGCAGCCATCCATAGAAAAATAGAGAGAGAAATTTCTTGGTAAGAGAGGAGGAGAAAAAGGAGGAAAAAAAAAGAGAAGAAGGTGTTTATGTATTGGGTGCCTGAGAGTAGGGGGTGGGGCAGGTAATTAGGGTCACGGTAAATGCTAAAAAAATAGTTTTAAATGTGATTTATTTCTGATTTCACCGTGATGATACAATTCTTCATTTGTTTCCTTTTTCTTTTTAATCATCTTCATACATAACTACCTTTTTGGTCGAGCTTTTCCGAGCCAATTTTTTTTCAATGTTGAAGTGTTTGGACAAGATTTTAGAGGAAAAAAAATATTTTTGAGTAGAAGTAGAAAAAAGTAGTTTCTCTTCAAAAATACTTTTTTGAAAAATATTTTTGAGAAAAATACACTTAAAAAAAAAATTTTAAAAGCTTGGTCAAACACTAATTGTTGCTACTCAGAAGTATTTTTTAAATAAATTAGTCAAACACAAACTGCTTCTCAACAAAATTACTTAGAAAATTTCTTAGATATGTTAATTAGATACTTGTAAATTCAAAAGAACTACCATCACCTGAGGAAAAAAAAATTCCAGGGGTGAATGTGTTGATTTATATGAACACGGATATCGAAAATTGGAAACTTAGAAAATTTCTTGACCTGGAAATCGATATCCCAAAATGAAATAGTAGTAGCTCCCCTAAGCAAACGTCCGTCTCTATTGACCTGTAAATGACTCTTTCTTTCCGTTCATTTTCATATCGAATAGTCGTTTAGAATTCAAATTGAATTAGTCATCTCTTTCTTTAAACAGAATGACAGCCTTGGGTTTAACTTCGTTTGAACACAAAGCCAACAACACTCCACTAAGATTTTGCTATCCCTTAATCTAGACTTCTTAAATTTTGACACATTCAACTAAATTTACACTTGATAGAAATTATCTTGTTGCATATACTATAGTTGAAAGGTTAAATACTTTTAAAGCAGTGGCGGACCCAAGTGGAATAATATTGTATATATGTATAAATTAGGATTAAAACTGTGTAAATTTTACATAAATATTTTATTTGAACACACTTGACAACTATTATTTTACGACTAAATTAGTATACTTCTAAGATTGAACCCGCTTGCACAAAATCCTGGGTCCGCCACTGTTTTAAAGTGGTAAGTCATTTAAAAAATTACTTAATAAACTATGTAGAATGAATAATAACTACTCCTATATCATATTTGCTAGTTCAAGCACGCGAACCATGCCTGAATCTCGTTGCTGCATAAAGAAACAAAACTGAAAATATGACGGTGAAAAGTTCCTCTAAAACACAAAGATATCGACTGATTGCTCCTTCGTTTAAATATAAGTAGTGAGCAGGTGATGTATACTTATCACAAGTTTCAACTAGAATTCTTTACCAATTTCATTTGGCAATTAACGTCAACGATTTTGAATGAAGGGATCCTCAAACTCCATAGATACAAGCAAAAGATGTCGGTGGGTTAACAAATTGAGATACGATAACTAGGTTTGGAGAAAGCGTATAACGTTGGTATCTCAAAATAATCAAGATATGGTACATTGCATTTGCCAATGCATATATGGAAAAGTGCTAGCGTCAACACGGTAACATGTTGCGATCACACAAAAAGCTATTCTTTAAGCACCTTTCCTTTATATGTAATCATTTTAAAAAGTACTCCAACGCCTAATACAATTAAAGTGGTAACTTTCGCAAATTTGATAATTCGTGACAAATGACTTTCTAATTTGCATATCAAATTATTATTCTACTCATGCAATTGAGTGAAAAGTTGAAACTGAAAACATATCAAGTTCTGATACCAACTACTTTAATAGTTTAATTACTATTTTTCTCTAACACAGGCACACAGCTCATTATAGGCCTTAAATGACTACCAACAACTCAACATCATATTAACAAATTCACAGATGTTTTCTCGAGCATAATAGGCAATAAGGAGGGTGAATACGGCCACTTAATTACACCATATACACATTTGCAATTAATTTAATAAATAACGTCTGACCTGTACTAAAGTCCGCCTGTAATTTAAAATTCTTCGCTTCTCGTGTTTTAGGTGCCAATATGAGGACCAGTGGTTGAAACAGGTGAACCATAAGAGTATCTCCACTCTCCACAAGCTAAGCACCGGTCAATCTCGTGGCTATTATGCAGCGTGCAAAACTTACAAGACCAGACTTTTGCTGCATTTGCGTCATTTCCTCTATCCTTCGGGATTCCACAAGCTCCACATAGAAGCGCTAGCGGCTGAAATGGTGAAATGAATATTATCAGACGGGCGACTCTAAAGCCACTAGGTATATGCGGATGACAAATCCCATCATCTTGAGATGTCTGAAAATGATCTAGAATCTTGATAGGTGACATCTGATTGGCAGTGGCGGAGCCACCTTATAGGAAGGGGGGTCAAATGACACCCCTTCGCGGGAAAAATATATATATATATATATATGTATGTATATTTACTATGTATTGGCTCCCCTTAATCTCCTAGTATGTTTACTTTTATATATTTTGATATCCCTTAACAAAAATTCTGGCTCCGCCACTACTGATTGGGCAAATAATTTTGTTTTTCAAGGGACAGTGCCATGTAGTTAGATCAAAAAAGGTTGAAGTGAGCTGCGTTTCGAAGAGGACTTATACAACTCCTATGTGGTACGGGAATATCATAGGAAATAAAAAGAGCAAGGACAAAGCAAAAGACATTACCTGATTCAATAAAGTACATGCACAACATTCCCACATTATCTGAGGATCGGTTCCTAGAACTGAAATATGATCAGACTTTGGTCCTACTGAAGTTTTAGAGCTTTCAGAGGGTCCCTTGCTCTCTACCATTTTGGAGCCGCACCACAGATCATCGTGTAACCTCCTTTCTGCAGCCATAGCGGCAGCCTGAATTGGGGTGAGTGCAGCCTTGATGCTACTATCACCCCCCAGACGCTTAGGCCCCGATGGCAAAAGTGCTCCAACTCGTGATCTGTTTTCTGCAGCAGCCAGTGCTTTCTGCCGCAATGATGACAATGGAGGTTGTCGAGAAAACCCACCCAATCGCTTTCCGGGGAGATCAAATCCTTGTCCAGTACCTGTAATTCCTTTAGCCATAAGCTCTTCACATTCCTGAAAAAGGAAACAAGAAGAGTTTAAATTGGCAATAGAAAGAAGGAAAGTTTAGCCATAATGTGCAAGTGCTTAAAAATGCAAAATGTTAAAAACAATTGTCAAGTACAGTGTGTGAGGCGGGTGAATCCCCAGCACGACTCAGTTATTGTGTCTCTAAGGAGGAACTAGTATTGCCGGAGGAAAACAATACTATCAGGGGGAGCAAGGCAAACAGGCCTTATTCAGGCTAATAGTTAGAGATGCAAGTTGTAAGAACACGGAGAAACAAAAAGAATGAAAATGGCCCAAACTAAGTAAAAAAGTATCTCATGCACGTACACAACCTTCCTGATTTCGTCCAATAGGTTATAAAAATCAGCATTATGCGGGCCATATTCATTGTGGCAGAGTTCATGAAGCATGGTGTCAAGAATTTGAGTATAAGGGAAGAAGTCCAACTCATTGTTTGGTCGCCGCAATCTAAGCTTAACCTCTGCACCTCCTCCTATGTTGAGTCCTAAAAGTGATGGATTGGCAGGACTGCGAAATTAGATTAGCTGATTAGCTCATGAACAACAATAAGAGATAACAATATAAAGAAGGAAAGTTCACTAAAGTTAAGACTCATAGGGAGACAAAAAGGCTGAAAGGAAAGAACGGTCAGTACCAAAATTCAGAGAGCACCTTGACTTTCCATTTCCGTTTGCGCATTATAGGTTGCACTTGCTTCGCTACCTTTTCAAGAATTTCTCTTGCCTCATCATCACGTACCTTCTTCAAAGGTTTGACTTCCCAGACTTTGTTTAGATCATTAAGATCCATGTGGCTGGTGGAAAACCACAACCAAGCTGACAATGAAGAGGAACTGGTTACTTCCAAATGAAGTCAAAATGATCAGATGTCAATAAAAGGTCATGCAAATATACAGAATTCAAATAGAGTAGCAACAGGTTAGCAGTAAAAGTCTGCTCACACAATAGAAGTTCTGTCCACAGGTGCATTTTTTGGGTAAACTATCAGGTACCTTAATCCACAGATAAATTATAGATGTATTACACTGGATAGTTTAGCAAATCTGTACTTATTATCGAATGTTTAGATCATGATATTAGATCTTCTGTAGTACATAGTCTAAAATATGGGATTGAACTGCTTGGCATGCCACCCAGGGAACTCCTTCCTTTTGCCAACTTGTTACTTGATCTTCTTTAGAAGTACCTCGAGGCTTCTCTTTCACTCAGGGCATACGAGACCATGGTGTGAGACTTCCTTACTACAGAGTCGTGTTTTGCAACTCGAGGAGGGACATCAATTTGAACATATTAACAATTACATTAATCCAACATGACTGATGGACATGCATCGTACAGAGGGAGCATGGAAATAAAATATGTAGACATCTCAAGACGAATAAACCAAAAACATATCCATTTACCAGATAGGAAAGAGAAAAAGGAAGGATAACTAGGCTAGAAACTGAATTAACTCTTCTTCTTTTTTTTAATGATAGAAACTGAATTAACTCTGATGTGCTAGTAGATAGATTTTCATGCCCTTCTTCTAGCATTTAACTAATAAATTTGCTAGGTATCTGATGTCCTAGGTGTTCTGGCAACTCATGTCTCTTCCTTTGTAATTGCAACCTTTGATTAGGGGAAGGAAGCCGGAAGCATATCAAATATGTGTCCTTCGACACATAACTAATAAACTAATCATTAGAGAGAAAGCTGGCCAGCTCACAAGCGCATTGAGATTAGGGACAACAAGACTCACTTTCAAAATCCCCAAAATAATTTTTAAGTCAAGTTTAGCCACAATATGTCAAAAAACATTTTATTGACATATTGTGTGATATGTAACATTAGATAGACCTCGAGGAAAAGTTTAATCTATTTTACCTGGATGCAAGTATGGCTTAACATATATTCACAGGGAACAATCTCTATCTCCTTAAAATGCCGATGCACAAAGGGGAGAAACACAACACATCCAATGCATGTTACAGCTGGAGAATATAGCAATATAAACAAGTCACAACACACAACAACAGACAACTCTAATCCCTCCATTACACCATACATAATCTTCCATCCTGATGCGTCAAGTATAAGGGGCTAAAGTTCTTAGACAACAATTTCTGACTTTTTCTGGAAATGATGGCAATAGTATCTTGAAAACGTCTCCGTATACTCTTTTCTTTTCTTTCCCTAGTGTTCTGTGATCCATGCTCATATTACTTCGAGCACATATTAAACTTCAAGACAATTCCTTTGTTTAATCTATTTTGTATTATGAGCAGATTAAAGTGGCATGCTTCACTATTATCGCAGTTTCTCTTCCCAACATTGCATGAGCACTGTGTGTTCCCTTTTACTATATGGAAGAATTGACTTATCTAATCATAATTTCAAAAGTGTCGATCCATAGACTAGACCATCTCCTAAAGTTACTACATAATGGAAGCCGCTACCTTACATAGAATATCGCCTATACTCAACAGCATAGATGACACCNTAGAAACCAAATGTTAAAAATAAACTTTTTTCTACTTTCTTGTGTGAGATCGTGCAGAATAACACGCCAAATTAAGGTAAAACAAATATGAAGCGACAAAATAGAAGTGAAGTTGAAAGGCGCAAGGTTTAAGACTTACCTGAGTCGCCGCTTAGTCGGAACTGGGAATGTGGGGAAACTTATGGACTTTTTGGACGCTATTTCTGGACTCCCTATTGAAATTAGCTCCAGTTCTGAGTGTTTCTTCGGGAAGAAGACACCCGTAGTATCTCATCCAAATATATGGGCCGGGCTGGGTACTCTTACCTTTCCTTTAGACTCGCAAACAAAGTCCAGCCCATCTACTTCCGCTCCACTTGTATTTGCAATCTTGGCTTTTCTCTCTTTTATGATTGAGAAGCTTAAGTGATGTAATGAACCAAAATTTAGATTATAAGTATTTGCACTAAGGGGTCATTCGGTAGGATCAAGGATGTATTTAAGGCTGTCGAACGGGACGGGACGAGACGGGACGGGACGGGACGACATTTAGCCGAGACGGTGGCAAGACGGGCCTAAACGGGACGAAACGGTAGGCCCATCCCATCCCGCTAACAAACGGGATAGGACAGGACGGGACGGGACGATTCGCGGGCCTTAAGTGGGCCTTTTTTAAATAAAAAAATTAATTATTTAAGTATTAAGTTTGGCAACGGCTAATTTTTTTACAATGACTAAGTTTTTAAAGTTTGTAACGGCTAGTTTTTTGACTTTTTTAATAAACTTAAAACTTAATAAATTATAAAGAAACTAAGTAAAGAATTATAAAATATTAAAAAAAAGACTTGTAATGAAATATTTTAGTAATTGTAATAGAGTTGTAATTTATTTAATATAATTTCAAGCCATTAAGTAACTAAGTAAGAGTAAGACAATTCATAAAAAAAATTCAAGGCTCAGAACTTTTTATTTTATTAATAGAACTTTCAAATTTTATAAATAAATATAATTCTTTTGAAGAGCACATAATCTACGCAACCACCTTGTAGGAAGGGTTCTGTTTAAACTAGGCCTTTTAGTAACCAATTACAAATCATCATACTAATATTTGTAAGCTCATATATAGCTTCGTTGTAACTTATCCATAATTTCTCTCGGATATTGTTCTGGAATTGGCAATGTTAATTGATGTTCCATGAGTTCCATGACGTCATCACTCCCATTACTAAGTATCTCATTGTATTCTTCTTCTTCCCTAGTGGTTATTTTTTCAAAACCAAGATTTCTTCTTTCTGAATTAATCCAATCTCTGAATAATACGGAAATCTCTAGGTTGACCTCCGCTAATGAATGTCTATGATCTCCGAAATAAATATTATAACATGCGGGGGGTGGACAAATGAAGTTTCATCAACATGAGTCATTTCATCTATGTGTTTTCTAATTCTATGAGAAGATTAGGATTAGGACTTGAAATTTATTTTGATTGTGAGAAAATTTGCCCAAATACTTAAAACTTATTTTGATTGTGAGAAAATTGAGAGAATAATATAGATAGAATGTAAGAGATTTGAGAGAGAATGGTTGATTTTTGTGGGAAAAAATAAAGAAGGATAGGGATATTTATAGTTAAAATAGAGCCAAAGTGTAATTTAATAAACTTAGGGGTTAAATTAAAAGTTTGGGTGGTAGGGGGTATTTTTGGGGGGTGGGGGTCCAAATATGATCGTTTATAGCCGTTGGCCAATGGCTCTATTTCAAAAAAAAAATATTAAATAACATGCGGGACAAACGGGACAGGCGGGATGAAATAGTCATCCTGTCTCATCCCATGTACCGTTTAATATGGGATAAACGAGACGGGATGGGACCGAGACGGGACGGGACGACCCGTCCCGTTGGACAGCCTTAGATATATTAGATAAAATAATGCATGCATTACCTTTGTGTATTAATAGTACTTTGTTTGATACACTTTTTGAACCTATGCATTAGTTATGCAAACATAAGTTATACATCCTATTTGGTATTATCCTATGCATAACTAATGCATAAGAAACCATAGTATTAACGATGCAATTAGTTTTAATGCATGTGTTAACTTAGTTAAAGATAAAATTATCCTTCAAAATTTATGCTTGATTATAATATGGTATTATATTAATGCAAGTTTGAAATAATCCAATAAATTGAGAAATAAAATTATATCCCTGGTAAATAAATAGATATTTAGCTTATTTTCTTTTTTATAAATAAATATTCAGTTCTATACTACAATATAAGTAGACAAATCAAATAATTTTTTAAACCTTTTTCATATAAAAATATTCATCAACATATATTTCTTTTAAAAAAATAAAGTGATGGACTAGTTATGAGGGTATTTTTGTAAACAAATAATTCTTTTAGAAATTGTGCAATGCTGTAACATCAAACCAAATAATGGATAAGAAATATGCCAGCATAACTAATGTCAGCATAACTAATATAAGTATAACTAATACCAACATTACTAATACACTCTATTCAGCATTATTCTTATACACTCTAACAAACGACCCCTAAGTAAGATTTACCAGTTGAATTATTTACTTGGCCTTTTGGTCAAGTTCTTGGAAGTAATATGTTTTGCTAGTATATTGCAACTGTAACGACCCGCCCGATCGTTTTGAGAAAATTAGCCCCTAACCCATATTTATTGCTTCCTCTATTTTATTTTATGGTTACGTAACTTACCGGGAGATTTGGTTTTTGGTTTTGGAATGAAATGGGACACATAGTCCCTAAAATGGAAGTTTAAGTCGTAGAAATTGATCGTAGTTCGAATTATATGAAGACGATCTCGGATTGGAGTTTTGACGGTTTCAATAATTCTGTATGGTGATTTTGGTCTTAGGAGCGCGTTCGGATGTTGATTTGGACTCCGTAGGTCATTTCGGCGTTAAGGCGAAAGTTTGAAAATTGAAAGATTTTGGAAGGTTTGACCGGGAGTGAACTATTTTGATATCACGATCGGATTTCGATTCCAAAAGTTGGAGTAGGTCCGTAATGTTAATTGTGACTTGTGTGTAAAATTTGAGGTCAATCGGACTTTATTTGGTAGGTTTCAGCATCGGATGTAGAAGTTAGAAGTTCTAAAGTTTATTAGGCTTGAATCGATGTGCAATTCGTGTTTTTAGCGTTGGTTGATGTGATTTAAAGGTTCGACTAAGTCCGTATGATATTTTAGGACTTGTTGGTATATTCGGACAAGGTCCCGGGGGCCCCGAGTGTGATTCAGATTTGAATCCGGAACAAAATTGGACTTGGTGCATTGCTGAAGCTTGGCAGTGTCTGGTGCAATCGCACCTGCGCACATTTGGTCGCAAGTACAACACCGCAGAAGCAGCCCTCGAATCGCAAAAGTGATTTGTAGCCTGTCCAGCTAGGACCGCAGATGCGGTTAAAGTTCCGCAGAAGCAGACTCACACATGTGATTGGGGGAGTGCAGAAGCGGAAAGGCCAGGAAGGCCTGGTGATCGTAGAAGCGGAGACCTTCCGTAGAAGCGGAAGCGCATATGCGGTTGTCCCTTCGCACAGGCGCAAGCGCAGGTGCGCTTAGGGTGCTGCAAAAGCGAGTTTTCATGGACTTAGTGATGGCCGCACCTGCGATGAAAATTCAGCAGGTGCAGAGCCGCAGATGCAGCTAAGGCCTCGCAAAAGCGGAAGTGCTGGGCAGAAGGTTTGAAATCGAGGGTTTGTCATTTTCTTCATATTTTGAGATATAGAGCTCAGATTGAGGCAAAATTTTGAGAGATTTTCAGAGAAAACATTTGGGTAAGGATTCTTGAATCATTTTTGATTAATTTTCACTAATCTATTATTAATTTCTTCATTTAATTAAGGATTTAGGTTGAGAAATTTGGGGAAAAGGTGGAAAAATTCTTAGGCCGAATTTTGAAGTTTTGATCGAGATTTTTGTATCGGATTTGAGTAATTTTGGTATGGGTGAACTCGATATCGAATGTGTTTTTGTATTTTGTAACTTTTACCCGATTCCGAGATGTGGGCGCAGGTCGACCTTTTGGGGCGATTTTCTAATTCCTTGTTAAAGTCATAATTTTATTATTTAGATTAGTATTTTATAGTTAAATTTATAGTACGTAATTGCTTTTGGCTAGATTTAGGTCGTTCGGAGTCGAAAACCGATGGAAAGGTATTCTTATTGATTGATTGAGCGAGATTTGAGGTAAGTGACTTGTCTAACCTTGTGTGGGAGAAACTCCCATGAGGTTTGGTATTATTATGATATTTGCAATACGTGAACGCCATGTACGCGAGGTGACAAGTGTGTACTCGGGTTAAATATTAAAAATCTGATTCTTGCTAAGTAATTTTCTTTTTAATTCCTTAACTGAGTTACTCTAGCATGTGTAGTCATCATGTTTAGCATAATGTTGCACGTCTACGTGTCTTATCTCTTATTTGCAATTTGTGCAACATGCTTAGTTGGATTTCCTGCCTCCTTGATCTTGTATTCAGTCTTTAACTGTAGGATTCTTTGTTGTAGATTCGTTGTTCCATTGGTTATGAGTTGTGTATTTACTTTTGGGACTACGAGGCGATACCTTGGAAGCGCCCCTGTTGCATATTTACTTTTGAGACTACGAGGCGATACCTCGGGAGCGCCCCGTGTTGTATATTTACTTTTGGGACTACGAGGCAGTACATTGGGAGCGTCCCTGTTGCATATTTATTTTTGGGACTACGAGGCAGTACATTGGGAGCGTCCCTGTTGCATATTTATTTTTGGGACTACGAGGCGGTACCTCGGGAGCGCCCCTGTTGTGCATTTACTTTTGGGACTACGAGGCGGAACCTCGGGAGCGCCCCTGTTGTTTACCTCTATTTGCTGTGTTGTTATCTTTATGAAATTTCTTATTGTTCACTTCTCAGTCATTTCATTACATTATTATATCTTCTGCCTTGTTA